GCCTCCCCCCCCCAAAAAAAAAAAAAAGTTGGCTAACAAAATCAAGAAAAGCCATTATAAAACATTCCTGACCAACTGAAAACAAATTCAAACCCTTGATTCGCCTCTTTCAAAAGTACATTTTGATTTGTTTCCGCCATTTATAACAATGAGCGATTTAGTATCACATAAGCCAGCGATTGATGACTACAGAAAACCAAAATAACAATAATGATGAAAGTAGCTGCAATAATATTCATAACAATAACACAGCCGCGCTTTAATTTCCTTTTTTTATTTTATTTTAAATCATTGCATATTGGCATGATTTCACTGGTTTTTCTTTGGTGTCATTGTCCCTAATTATTTAAGCAAATGTGTGAGTGAAGAACCATTTGAGGATTTCACAGCAGTTTTGGGGGTGGGGCTTGAACTCCAGTAGAACACCAAGAACTTTCACAGGATGAGGACACTCAACTCAATGGCAACAAGATGTTGCAATATTTAACGATATCAGTGTTTTAAAAAATCATTGCAATATATCAGAAGATCAATACGCAGCTCAAGTGCTGTGCTAGGAAAGCTTTGCAAAAAAGAAAAAAAAAATGCAAAATAAGAGTTCATTAATTGAGGAAGTGAACAAAAAAGTTAATGTCACAGCAGAACTGGCTTTGTTGAATTGCCTGCTGCGTTACAGTGACCTCAGCCAGAATATCATTGTAGGACCCAGACTGGTATATGTCCCACAAAGGACCAGAACCTTTCAATCTATTTGTGTCTCTGTGCCAGTTGTTGTGTCCTTTGCTCTAACCACCCTGGGTCAAGTCAAGACGTCACAACTCAACACCAATGAGGAAGCGGCAAGCTACGGGAAAAGATACAACCTTCAGAGCGGCGAGGGGAAATGTGTAAACTTGGCCCCCCACCTCCTCCTGCCGGGTGGACCCGTTATATACTGCTCTACAAACATACAGTGGTAATTTAGTGGTACTACTCTACCACTAGATTAGTGCTTAACAACAGTTTTTATACTGCCTCAAAAAGAAAATTTCAAAACTAGTAAATAAATGAAAATTAAAACAAGTATACATTCAAACGCAAGGCTTCATTTTTGCATGCAGTTACGAGACACTGTGACTGTCCTCTGCCCTTCCCGTTGGACGTTTATCAGACGATAATAGCTATCATGAAAAGAGCTGCAAGAAAGTTTTAAATTATACAAAAAAGGGCTCGCAAGCAGTTAAACGGAGCAATATTCCGAAAGTGAGCTTCCCATTCCCGTGTTTGGGGGAAAATCTGATGTAAAGGTGACTAGGAGTGGTGGATAAGGACTGTGTGTAGCCCTGTAACTGACTTATTATTATTATTTTTTTTTAAACTGGCATTACTGGTGTTTTTTTTTTCATTTTTAATTTCCGAAATGGACTCTGCAAGATGGCACACTGGAAAACTACCCTCACGCGTTCTGCTTTCGGAGTGTAATTAAACTGAGGTAGAACTGAAAGCAGGGTATAGAGAAACCTTAGGCATCGCTGTACATATGACCAACGGCAGCAGCAGAATGGGATATCGTTTGCTTTAAAACGGCTATTAAATCCTTTCTGGCAGCTCTTTATCCTTTGTAACCCTTGAATACTTGGCTTCTGGTGCAAGAGCAGCCTGATTAGGTTGTTGATTTGCCTCCCTTATGTCATCGAGGTCCTCAATAAAAAAAAGGAACACAGAAAGCTAGCTATGTGATTGGCCATTAGACAATTATCATTGTTGTTTCGTTGTGTGCGGATGGGTCTCTTTACCTCATCTTCACAATTTGTGTGCTTCTCTTTAAAGTGTACAATTGTTCTTTGTACAGTGGCTGAAGGCTGCTCGGAAAACAGTTGTATTAAGTACTAATACATAATTTAAACTTTGAAATTTACACTTCGATCCTTGCCGCATGACAAATAAAACTATATTGATAAAATCTTCACCTTTAATACTTGCAAAAACTAAACTTTGCACCATCACTCCAGAACGCTTCTGGTACATTCAAAGTCATTCATCTTCTTGCCAGTTTTTAAAACGTGTTGAGGTAAGCCCACAAATTATTCTCCGCCCCCATCCCCCCCACCCCACCCCCCTCGTAACGTAAATAAGATGCCTAACCTAATACTTTCAGCAGTACATAGTGCTTTCGACACAATCTTTTGAGGTACTGTACAAATCACAATCGCTTTCCTGAGTTTTCGCAGTCAGAACATCAAAAGAAATGAAAGTCGATAACTTAGGGCCCAGATCTCCATCACCCTACATGTGAGTATTTCATCCTGTTCCCAGATGACACCGCAGAACAGACAACTGAGGAATACTGTTGCTCTTAAAATGGCAAAATAATAACAATAACAATCAAACCGTCTCCTAAAAAACAACAGAGAATCTCTAAATTTAGTGTTTGGAGTTAAAGCTCTTTTTTATATTAGCACATGCCACCAATGTAGATTGTGAGGCAAACAAACAATAACAACAACCAAATCAAAAAGCACCACTTCAGGCACTTGATAGCAACTAAATCTCAAGAAGAGCAGAATGATATATACACACTGGGTTTCCATCCTCTTGAAGTCAACCCACTTGCACCTTTGAATGAGATGCCCGACCTCAGCAGTATCAAGCATCAAAATAAGATTTCTGTGTGAGCGTGCGTGCGTGCGTGCGTGTGTACGTGCGTGCGTGTGTTACTTGCAGATTGCCAGCTCTCAGTTAAAGCACACTTATTTTAAGTCCCTTCTGACAGTTTAGGTGCTAAGATCACTGTTGTCTGTATACCCCCTCGACCTTCAAGCTGCGACACTGAAAGGAGAACCCTTCCAGTGGTACTCTTCCTCTAACGAGCTCACGGGCCAACTGGGTCGCTCCCTCTCGATCTCCAGTTCTCTCTTTTCATTGACTACAGCCAAACATTTTGTTCCACTTAATGTATGTGTCAAGTTCTTTCTGTGATATACTGGGCTGAATTTTACAAAAAACGTTCTCGAAGTCCTGGTAGGTGACTGGCCGCAACTGGCCGGGAAGGATGGCTGAAAGGTCTGCGCCCGGCACAGCATGCAGAGGTCCCACCACTGCCTCCTGACACAGGCGGGCCACGTCGAGCCCCGAGAAACCCTCTGTTCGCTGGACGAGCAGCGCCAACTCCTTGTCGTTGAGGCAGTAGTTGTGCTGCGAAAGCAGCTGGCTGATTATCTGGTGCCTTGCCGTGCTGTCGGGCAGCGGGATGAGGATCCGCTTCATGAAGTACCTCCGCAAAGACTCGTCAATCTCCTCGGGCTTACTCGTGGAGCACACAACTACCACGTGGTCCTCGGCTGAGGCAAGGATGCCGTCCAGCTGCATGAGGAGCTCGCCCTTGATCCTGCTCACTGGGCTCTCCTCGCTGAGCTGGGCGGACAGCAGCATGTCGATCTCGCTGATGAATACCACGGCAGGCTGCCGGCACCGTGCCACCAGGAACGAGGCGTGGATAATCTTGTCTCCTTCGCCCACCCACTTGGTCACCAGGGCGGAACCACTGAGCTGGAGGAACACCGCCCCCAGCTGGCTGGCTATGCACCGACCCAGTAGCATTCGGCCTGTTCCCTGAGGTCCAAACAAAAGAATGGTACGAGGTAATGCGGTGAGTCCACTAAACACATCCGGCCTCAACATAGGCCACAAGACCTCTTCTTTTATTGTGGCTTTGGCCAACTCCAGTCCAGCTATGTCGCTCCAGTCTACTGGGGGGCCCTGCTGAATAATCTCCGTGGTGACCAGCTCCACGAGGTGTGGATCGCTGCCCTTCAGCTGCTCCTCTGCGGGATGGGTAGATGAGGTAGCTGTGCCGACGGCCGACCCCAGCACCGGGTGGGAGAGGTGCTGCCGGTGCTCGTCGCCGTGCTCGCCCATGACGGGGGACGTGAACTTGCCGAACGGCTCACCCGACCGCGAGCTGCCCAGGGAGCCTTTCGTTGAAGGGTAGGATGGGGGGGTTAGCGCCCTGCCGGACTGACTGCCGAACTTTCTCTGCTGATCCGAGGGCAACAGTTGCTTTGTCGGCTTAAACGCCAAAGATGACGCCTCAGCACTTCTGTCAAATCCATTCCCCCGGCCTGTGCTTGAAACGCTGTTGTCCCCCATCTGGTACATAGGGCTCTGAGTTGATCGCTGTTGGCTGTAGCTGAAATTTCCATAACTGGAGTCTATCTCTCCTTGCCCTGTCATATAGAAAGCCTTCCGCTTCAGGGAATTAGCCGAACTACTGTTCAGCGGTGTTGGTGCGATTGGCGCAAGACTGTGTGACTGGTAGGAATAGCCGGGGAGGGTTGAGGGAGGCAAGGGCGTAGGAGCGGCTATACCTGATGGCAAGTAGGCAGAGGGAGGTGGCGCTCCCCCGGGGCCGTAACCCGGGGCAACAGCAGTCTGTGGAGGATACCCTGCCGGAGGGTAATTGTAGCTGGAGATGTTTGGCGAGCCAGTGTTGTAGCCCGGCACGAGAGCTGGGGGGGGAGGTGGGGGTGGCGGGGGTGGCTGCAGGAGCCCAGCGCTGTGCAAAGGTGATGGGTGAGGCGACGGCAGGGCTGAGGCAGACTGCCCGCTATAACTGGAATGCAGGTAGGAGCCATTGTACCCCGGGGCGTATTCCTGAGAGGGGAGTACGGAGTGAAGGCCCGCCACTGTGTGACTTCCACAGCTGCTGCTGGAGTAGCTAGGCTCCGTCAGGTTGCTGGCCACCCCCGGCGAGCTGCCAATGCTGGCAGAGACGTCTGCTGGGGGCAGGGCAGCCGTCACCCCGGCCTTGCTTGCGGATATCACGTCTGGGACGCAGTTCATGGAGTAGACTCCCTCTTGCCAGGGTTCACTCTCCGATTTCCTGCCGTTGATGAGCGGTGGGCCCCCCTCCGAGTAGGAGCTCAGGAGGACCCTCTCGTTGGGGCCCTCCAAGATCCCCGAATACTTCTCGGCATACTTCTTCAAGAGGTTGGAGGCGGTCAGCGCTGAGATGTCATCGTTGGCCCAAGAATACTGATAGGTGCGCTGCAGGTGTCCCCGGTAGGCCTCAGCCTTGTGAGCCGGCGAGCGGGTGGTGGAGGTGATGTCAAAGTGCTGCTCCGCCCACTGCGCATGCTCCGGCGTCCACTGCATCTTTACGCCTGAATTTAAAACACAGAAACATGCATTTAATATATACAAAAGTAGTGCTTAGCATTACAGCTAACTAAAAGGGTAACATTCCAGAAAGAATCATTAGCAAAACAGTGGGTAGAGAAACAGCAGTCAAACGACCCAAGGACTTAACTCGCTTCAGATGTCATTGAAACCTCAAAATATATCTTTCCCACAGGCTAACCCCCCATATAACAAATACGGGACCACTTGCTGACAGATCACATCGAAGGCACAGCCCTGATTTGGGACCCAGCACCTAGTTAGCGCAGTATAATGCACCCTGCACAGACCGATATGACACAGACATTGCAGGTCACTCTATAATCCAACTCTCATCTAAAGCGGGTCCGAGACGGTTTCAAATCAGCTTCACCGGGTGCGGCGAACCAATCTCCCGGGCAGCGCTCCGGCGCTTTCATCACACAAAGCCCACGGCTCGGTTTGAATTACAACGGCCCTCTCACAGCCTCCTGGTCTGTGGTGTACAGACTCGGGGGGGGGGGGGGGGGGGGGGGGGGGAAAAAAAAAAAAAAAACAAGTCCCACTTGTCTTTGTCTTTCTGTTGTTTCCACTGCTCAAGAGGCGCAATCCGTTTACACCCAAACTCCATCTGCAAATAGCAGAGGAGCGCGGCCGGAGACCCTCGCTGCTGCAGTGACGGGACATGCCTCCCGTGCAGTAACGAGGCTGCCACATTAACAACGACCCTGTTTTTTTATTTTGTCTTGCAGGTTTACTTCCTTTAAGCCGTTAACGGGCACGTTTGGGGTCCCACGAGGTTCCCCGAGGGTCGTGCGTATTAACCACCGCGGATATGCAGCTGTATTGACAGGCCGACTCCCTCCACATCACGTGGCCCCAGTCT